TCCTCTAATGACAGCTCAATCTGGGACAATTCCTCAGATTTGTCACCTAAAAAGAATGGCTCAGGTTTGGGAATCTCCCCAATATCCTCAGCCGTGAAGACGGAAGCAAAGAATTTGTTTAGTTTCTCTGCAATGACCTTATCGTTGTTGAGTGGTCCTTCAACATCTCAATTGTCTAAGGGCCCCATCGCTTGTTTAGCAGGCTTCCTCCTTCTGACGTACTTAAAAAACATTTTGTTGTTACTTTTTGAGTTTTTGACTAGTTGCTCTTCAAACTCCATTTTGGCTTTTTTTATGATATTTTTACACTTAATTTGACAGAGTTTATAGTTTAAGTTTTCCTCTTACTTTCCTAAGAGGTTGTAGCTATATCAACAGGACAAGCTCTCCCGCCAATGTAGTGCTGTGTACGCAGTGGGTTAGGTCAGGGGTGTTAATTTTTATATATCCTGAGTGATGTGGCTATACGGTATGTGCCTGTAGTGTAGACCAGACCAAGAAATCAAGCCTGGAAAACCTCTCCAAGAATTAATTAGGAGAAGCTAACACATTGCCGAAGGATTACATTTAAAAACCTTATAATGATTTTGCTTGTTTCAGATTGCAACATCATTTTAATATTCCAGTGGTTTCTCCTTTTTATCACCAAGAGTAGGGATATACAATTTTGATTGTCTAATTAAATTAGTCGATTGGTCGATAAGGTTGCTTCTACCTTCAAAGGTGAAAGTGCTGTGGGTAGCAAGGGGCTGGGGGGGGGACTCAAACAGTCCCCTTGTGGCCCTATGCTACCTGTGGCATTTCAAAGCAGCAGCACTGCATGGAGCCCGGGGTCATTGGGGGAGACCCCAGATCCATGCGGTGCTACCACTTTGAAATGCCGCAGGGATTCCAGCGTCAGGCTCCACGTGGTTTTTCAAAGCAGCAGTGCTGCTTAGAGCCTGGGGCCAGCTGGCCCGGTCTGTACATGGCATTTCAAAGTGGCAGCACTGAGTGGTGCCCGGTGCTGCTGCTTTGAAGCATTCACTCCCTCCCCTCCGCCCCGCTGCCTCTTTTTGATAGAAGTGGCAAGGTTTGGAGGGGAGGGGGGAGGAAAGCAACTAGTTGACTAGTATGTCGACTAGTCATTCACATCCCTAACCAAGAGTTAAGAGTATGGAGTCCTGGATATGAGATGAAGGCAGTAGGCTAATCAATGGAGTTTAATTGGATTTAAGATTTTTAACATTGGTTAATTGGCTTCTCAAGACAGCTCCTTAAATGCTTCTAAGCAGCTGGTTTAAATATTTTCCCTGGTTTATGTAGGATGTAGTTCATATTGTTTAGTTTGCTAATTATATAGTGGTTAATAATGGATCTTGGTCAACTGGTCCACCTGCCAAGAGAAAAATATTTTGCCCATCTTTTGCCCATTAAATTGCATAATGATATACTAAAGAATCGATTCACAATGTTGGAGAAACAATATACAGTGAAACTCCAGTTGTCTGGCATCCATTGGTCCGACACTCCTGCTAGTCCAGCACCACCTGGAACTGGAAGTGCTCCAGGCAGCCAGACAATTGGAGCTGCTCTGCCCTGGACTTCCCGGAGTCAGCCGCTGGTCAGTTTTCAGCAGCAGCTGACTTGGGGGCACCTGGGGCGAAGCAGCTGGGGTGCTGGGTTGGTCCCATAGCACCGCTCTCCCACCTCAGACCCCTCATAGCCCCCCCTTCCAATAGTCCGGCATATCTGATACTCTGGCCCCCCTGCGTCCTAAAGGTCCCGGATTATCGGAAGTTTACTGTACTTTGGTCATCATTTACTAAGTGGAAAGCAAACCTTAAGAGGTATAAACCCTGTTAACAGCTCCTCAAAAACATCAGAAAGATTTTAATGGAAGTAATATCTTTTCTTTTATGTTCAGTTGTTTGTTTTCGTTTTTCTTTTAACATGCTATATTGATTATTAGATAATTAATTTGCTTGATTTTGATTATATTGTCTGGTAAACTATTCAAAATGTTAAGAAAAAATCCCCTGGTAACTAAATAATGGAAATAACACCCCTGAGTTGATAGTAAAAATAACAACTAGTAAGTGCTGACCTATTATTTCTTGTTTCTCTAAACTGATATATTTTTAGTAATTCTTAAATCAAAATTATTTACAACTACCCCATTCAACTTCATGTCTTAAACCAACGGTAAGTTCAAACATAATTATATTTACCACCTTGGTATTTGTTCAAAATCATTATCAATGCTAAATGAATTATGAAGGTATTATTACAACAAAGGTAAATATTTTTAGGTTTGGCAGAATTTGATATTTTTATGTTATAATATTGGATAATATTTTTAAGTGTTTTAATTTTTACCGATTTCAGTGGCACAAAATTGGGGGCTAAACAGTAACTTAATATCTTGTTGAGATTAACAAAGTTAGTATTGTAATGATTAAAATAAAAACTTTCAACATTTCGTATCCAAATACAAAGTAAATATTCTTAAATCAAATTGTAACATCTCAAGCAGCAGTTTTTCTTTGCTACTCTATATGTTTTGATTATTGATGCAAATGTTGTTTATTGATGATCTAATCATTGCAAGTTTAGAATTATTAAATGATGCTTTAAAATAAAATTTGGCTGCCTTTACTTTTCCTTTTCCTATAGAAATTGCTGTTCAGCTTTCCATCCTATCCTCTATATCAATGCCTTTAAAAAAAATAGAAATCACATCAATTTATGCTGTGCCACATCTAATAGAATTCTAGAGCAGTGGTCTCCAACACGGAGCCCGCGGGCTTGCGGCACGTGTGGTGCTAGCCCCGGGTGCGCAGCGCATGAGCAGCCCTGCCTCCGGGCGCGTGGCAGCCTCAAAATGTTGGGGACCACTGTTTTAGAGCACTCAGGATTTCTTTGCTCATTTAAGGTATAGCCCTTTTAAATGTGTAGTAGATTCCCTACAAATAGGAATTTTGGTTTAAAAGAAGAGTACCCTAGAACCTCAGAGTTATGAACAAACTAGTCATTACATCCTTTAGAACCAAAAGTATGCAATCAGGCAGTAGCAGAGACAAAGTGTTAAACCAATACTACTTTTTAAAAAGGAAAAACTAAAAAAGACAAGATAAGGTTACTGGTTTTGTGCTTGTTTAATTAAATTAAGATGTACAACGCAGCATTTTTCTTCTGCATAGTAAATTTTCAATTATTTGAAGTTGTTAAATCAATGTTCAGTTGTGAACTTTTGAAAGAACAGCCTACACATTTTCTTCAGAGTTTTGAACAACCTCCATTCCCAAGGGCTATGTCTACACTGGCGGCTTCTTGCGCAAGAACAGCTGTTCTTGCGCAAGAAGCCCTCTCTTACCATGCTGTACTGTAAATCTTCTTGCGCAAGAGCGGGTGGGCAGTGTGGATGCTCTCTTGCGCAAGAAAGCTCTGATGGCCATTTTAGCCATAGGACTTTCTTGTACAAGAAAGTCCTATGGCTAAAATGGCCATCAGAGCTTTCTTGCGCAAGAGAGCATCCACACTGCCATGAATGCTGTTGCACAAAAGCACATATCGCACATGGCAGTGTGAACGTGTTCTTGCACAACTTCTCGCACCAGAACTGTTGCGCAAGATGTTCTTGCGCAAGAAGCCGCCAGTGTAGACATAGCCATGGTGTTCGTAACTCTGAGGTTCTACTGTAAGCATTTGATAACAATCTATCAGCTGTCTCGTAATGCATACACCCTATCTCTTAACACATATACATTCATGATAGGAAGATGCATATGAAACTGAAATCTGTTTCCTTCAACAGTAATTATCTTAATCAACTGATGCCACACAGAAACTAAGGAAGATTTTATTTTGAGGTGTTCCTCATAGGTGAGGCTTCATTATGATGTTTCCTTTCTTTCTATCATCCCACTCTTTCTTTGTATTTTTATATATATATTTTTAAGGCATTATCTTGAAAAAAATGACTTGTTCTAATGTAATCTCTTCCTCCTACATAATTCCTGCTTCCAGATGTAATGTTCTGGTTTTGCTCAAGATATATTTTTTTAACTCTAAAAAATAACTGGCTGACAGGATGGATAAAAATCTATTTTTAATTTGATTTTTTTAAATACTAAATTTCTTATTTAAAAAAGTTACAATTAAATGTAATAAAAAACATACTACACATACACTTATAGTCTCATATAAATGAATTAATGGCTCTAGTCTGTCCAGCCTAACTATTAGCTCTTGCTTCTTGGAAGTTTGGGCTTCCGATTTCTGTTTCTCATCTGACAAAAAGGTAACTCAATTTTTTGAGGAGTAACGTTAGTTTGAAGCAAGGGGCTTGGTTCGAACTAGCGCATCCCGGCACGTACTTTCACTTTCGAAACAGCTGTTGAGCAGAGTAACGCGCCGGCGAGATCATGCTAATGAAGAGCAGATTTTTAAATCCCCTCTTCATTAGCGATTTCGGTCGCCTACATTTGCATCCCTAGTTTGAACTAGGAAGCATACCCTAGTAGCTTCAGCATAACTCAGTTTTTCCAAGGGAACGCCATTTTATACTTGTTTTCTCAAAACAGAAGTGTTGGTGAGTTCAGTGAAAATTAAGTGCAGTCTAAGCATAGTCTGTCTTAACTTCATTTAAATCAATGATTTTGGGTGATTTAAATCAGTCCTGCTGACTTATTCTTATTTTAATAGGAGCTAGCATCTGAACCTTGAGCCCTGTATGTTTGAGATTACTCCTGCGGTTGCTCAGGAGTACAGATGGAAGCCAGGTGACTTTGAAAGATCTTCAAGGAGCATACTTACATGGGCCTTGATACTGGCCAGTGCCTTGTTACACGCTATCAGTCTGTGCATGCATGTGTGCAATACAATATACCTAATTAAAGTAATCAGACACTATATATATTATTGTCATCAAAAGTTGTATGAATTCAAACTGTACATGATAAAACATCTAAGTTTCCACTTTTAAAAATGAGCTATTTTTTTTCTTTCCATTGATACAGGTTGAATCAAGAGACACTCTAAACAGTATTGCCTTGAAATTTGATACGACACCCAATGAACTGGTTCAGTTAAACAAATTTTTCTCCAGAGCAGTTGTTCCTGGACAGGTATTATCTATTAATTATCTCAACATAAACTGGGTATGGGGGAAATATAGGAAGATGTTCAAAATGCTTGTCTACCACTTGTACTGAAAACTTGGGGATGGGCTTCTCTCAACACATAAGGCATCCTATCTTTTGCATATATATTTAAGATTCTTCAGTGAGTGAACTCCAGAAACTCACTTGGATTACTCAGTTGAGTAACTGCTACCATTGGGAGTTACTCACAGTTTAACCCAATCTTTACTATCTCTTTTTCTTAAGTTAAAGTTGTGAAGACAAATAAAAGCCAGCATATTGAGAAACGTAAGGGAATTTTTTCAAGTTCAAGTCAAATTTATTATTTTGTAAATGGAAATAGGATAAATATTGGGAGTTAGCAGCATTTTTATAGCTATAAGCATGACTTACTGGCTGCTTGCAGCTGTTCAGAAACTGCAATACTGTGCATGCCATTTCCAAGAGAGTGGATCTGAGGAACAAATAAATCTAGAGTGAACTAGTTTTTGGCTTGCTTTGTAAAGAGATGAATCTGGAAATAATTCACCAACTTTTTAAAATTGAGATGAATGTACTGAATATGTGCCCTATGAATGTATCTTATTTACTCTAAATAATAGACTAATAGCATTCTTTGAAAATGCCAGAGAAATGGTACACTGTGCAAATACAGCACAAACTTTATCAGGCATGTTGGTGGAATAGGGAATGTCAATCGGATATTTTGGTTAATTGAGAATTATACATTACCAGTGGAATACCAATAGGAATAAGAACACAATCAAATGAATAAAGTGAAAAATAGGATATAGATCCTCACAAATCCATTTGGTTTCTTAGAGCATTTAAGTGTATACAGGTAAAGCTTTCTATGCAGTAGGTTCACTTATAACGCTACACATTGCTTTAGTACTAAACAACGTAGAACAAAATTTAATCTTTGAGGATTCAAAAAGCACTTTATGATCTTGCAGTGCCACAGGGTCATCATAATCAACATCAGTTATCAGTGTAAATGTGGAAAGTGTAGGAGAATGGGCATCATAATAACCCTATGACACCATGGAAGCTGCTTTTTTATTAGAGCCCTAATTTCAGTTTTTTACTTGTCTTCTGCCTCTTTTGCATAAAAGAGTACAGAATATGCAATTGAATAACATGCTAGGTAATATAACCAGGACTTGTATTAAATTTGAAGATTTGTATTGCGAGAGATCAGAAATACTGGTTAATTGAGTGCCAGATAACAGAGCTTAAACTGTATTCATAAGCGTATTTATCACTACATGAGACAAGTTTGAATTGTTTCTAGGCATGATGCAGATTTCTTACTTAGCTTATGTATGCACTGTTGTTACTGCTAACAATCAGCCTTAATATAAGCTTTCCAAATTTTAACTATTTAAAGACTAAAAAATACATTGTGCGGGAATATATTTACTCATATTATGAATTTCTTTATTAAAGGTACTTGTTTCATTGCACAATTTTTGGCACACCATGTTGGAAACCAGTGGGGGATCCCTTTGTATGTTATGTTTATATACTGTGCCAATGCATTCTGTGTCTCTTGAACCTATTAATTGATACTTTATTAATACTGCTTAATTTGTTAGATAAGTGTTGATCATAAAATGGTAATTCACAAGTAAAACTATATTTTATTCTTTAAAATGTTTAAACTCCAGAAGAACAAATGAAACTTATGAAACAAATCTACATAAACTAGTAAAAATAAACATAAATGAAACACTTAATATAGCTGCTAACTACAGTATATGTTCCATTTCTTCATAGATTTTATATGTTCCTGACCCAGAATATGTTTCTAGTGTGGAGAGCTCCCCATCTCTTAGTCCCATAAGTCCTTTGTCACCTACGTCTTCAGAAGCTGAGTTTGACAAGGCTACCGTAAGTATAGGTATATTTGTTTCTGTGTTTAGGGAGATGTGTGCATTAGTTGCTTAAAAGATAAGAAACAAGTGGTAGGAATAAATTGTCAGTTTTCAGTATGCAGAGAGGGGTAAGTAATGGTGTCCTTGTAGGGTTCTGTACGAGGACCAGTCCTGTTCAACATATTCATAAATAATCTGGAAAAAGGGGTAAGTAGTGAGGTGACAAAATTTGCAGATGATACAAAATTATTCAAGATAGTTCAGTCTGAAGCAGACTAAGTTCTTCAAAGGGACCTCACAAAATGGAGCGAGTGACTGGTGTGTTTTGCCAGAAGCTGTGAATGAGCAACCAGGGATGAATACACTTGTTCTGTTCATTTCCTCTGTGAATGACCCTGATGAACTGATGTTGGCCACTGTTAAGAAAACTGGGCTAGATGGACCTTTGGTCTGCCCTAATATGGCCATTCTTATGTACAAGAATCTTGTCTTGGAATACATCATTTTGAGATCATAGGCATCATTCTTAAGTCAATTTAGTGTGTGTGTATTTTTTCCCCACTAGGTTCGGGTTGTCTGTATTTTGATGCACTACCTAACAAACATACATACCATAGCAGATGATGCCAAGCTGGGAGCGGTTGCAAGTGCTTTGGAGGATAGGGTCATAATTCAAAATGATCTGAACAAACTGGAGAAATGGTCTGAGATAAAGAGGATGAGGTTCAATAAGGACAAATGCAAGATACTCCATTAGGGAAGAAAAATCTCACATACAAAATAGGAAGTGACTGTCTAGGAAGGAGTGCTGTAGAAAGAGATCTAGTGGGCCAACAGCTAAATATGAGGCAGCAGTGTGACACTATTGCAAAAAAGCAAACCTCATTCTGGGTGTTGTGAGCAACAAGAGTGTTGTGAGCAAGATCTGAGAAGTAATTCTTTATTGCTTCTCTGTGCTAAGTTAGGCCTTAACTGGCCAGTTCTGGGCACTATATTTCAGGAAAGGAATGGAGGAATTGGAGAAGCTCCAGAGAAGAACAGCAAAAATGATTAAAAGTGTAGAAAACATGACTTATGAGGGAATACTAAAAGAATTGGGCTTGTTTAGTTTGGAAAAGAGAAGACTGAGCCAAGACATGATAGCAGATTTCAAGTACCTAAAAGGGTGTGTTACAAGGAGGAAAGAGAGACATGATTTTTTAAACCTCTGATAGGACAAGAAGCAATGGGCTTAAATTGCAGCAAGAGAGATTTAGGTTGGACTTTAGGAAAAATTCCTAAAATGTCAGGTTGGTTAAGCACTGGAATAAATCAGCTAGGGAGGTTGTGGAATCACCATAATTGGAGATATTTAAGAGCAGGTCAGACAGACATCTATCGGGAATGTCTAGATGGTACTTGGTCCTATCATAAGAGATCTTGCCATGAAGCCAGGGAATGAGACTTGATGACGTCTTGAGGTTCCTTACAATTCTAATATTCTATAAAAATATTACTGCTTTCATAAAGGGGCATTTACTGAAAATTGTTTTCTCAAAGAGGAGGGAGGGAGGGAGATCAATCTTGTATTTACACAGTATTAGGTGCGGTAGAGGCACAAGTGACCTTACATATATTTTAATTAGGTTTGTGTGCTCAAGATATATGGGCAAGTTAAAAATCCTACATGTAATACTCCTACCCTGTGTCACCAAATAGTTGTTAAAAGCTTTAATTTTTTCAATTTTTTTTTTTCAATTCTGGGAAAGTATTCGCATCCACAGATGTGTAGAATTCATGCATCCTCCATCCCAATTCCCTCCCCCCCCCCCCAAAATTTCCACCATGGGCCCACCAGAAGCTGCTGCTGTCAAAGAACAGCCAGCAGCATGAACCCAGCCACCTGTTCAGGTTCCTGAGCAGCCTCTGGTGGGCAATAAGTAGAACTGCAGCATTTCTAGGAGTACAAGTATTTTTCTTTTCTTTTTTTTTTTTTTTTTTGGGGAGAGGGGGAATGGGGAGAGAGGATTTTGTGCATATCCAGTGCTGAAGAATTCCTCCAGGAGTAGAAATTCATCGTTGGGACAGAGTAGGGCAAATGAGGCTGCTGGAGGGGTCATACTCTGGGATTCAGAATGACTAATAAGAGGAACATACTGTGGAATGGGCTCTAGAGCTAGTGGGGTAAATGTGGGGCACTAGGAATATTAAGAAATGAGTAAACAGCTAATTCTGTAGTCGATAGAATTTCTATAGACTAAACGACTAGTCAATAGGGTTGGCTCATCCTGGGTCCTTGTGGGGTGGGGGCGGGGAGTAATGCAGAAAAGAGCTGCTGAAGGGTGGGGTGGGGGTGGGGTGAGGGTAGACGTGCCTGACTGAATGTGAGAGGCTTGGGATCAGCCAGGGTCTGCATCCCTAACAATCCTCCCGTGCTTCTCCTGCCCATTCCCAAGAAGCCTCCAGGTTTACTCCAGGCTACTTTATCTCCCTCATCTCTTTGATTAATGCTGACTCCCCAAGAGCTTTTGACAGGTGTAGGAAATAGAGTTCTGCATGGTAATTTCAACAAACTTCTGTGTTAATATACCTAGGAAGAAATCTATAAAAAAAATTACCCAAATCTTTTTTAGTTGGTATTGTTATAGACATACTTGTCTAATAGATGTTTTTGAATAAATTGCCAAAATAATTGAAACTGGAATGATGATATTGTGGTGTTTTTGACAAATAAAATATGCAGAATCTTGCAGAATTTTAAAATATTGTGTGTATAATTTTTAATTTTGGGTGCAGAATTTTTATTTGTTGGCACCAAATGCCCACAGGAGCAGAATATGGATGTTTTTAAATAGCAGAACTGGATTTTTTCTATTTCATTTGATTCAGACAGAGAACTATACAGGTCAGTTCAGTTACTTTTGCTGATTCATATATGGCTTGATCCGCAGATCATTGAAATTGATAGATCTCTTCTATCTTTACTGACTGCTGAAAAATAATATATGAAAGCTGAAGCTAGCTTCCAATTGACAAGCTTATTTGATACAGAGCCCTTTCCCAAAGAATACTCATCATTGTTAAGCAGCATTACTCCCTTAGCTTGATTATCTAGACACCCAGAGGGTCTTCCTGTCACTTTAAATTTTGTTCCTCAGACCCATGCCAGGGACAGTCATAATTGTTTACCTTTCTGAAAATGTGGATCCATATGGGCAATTCTCAAAAGAGTAACTATGATTTTTCAAGGTAACTTGCCATATTAATACATGATTACTGCTTGTGTTCCATCTTTGGAGTCTCTCTACAAGAGATTCTGACACTGGAAATTTATGGATGGTCACGACTACAGCATCATACTCTTAGAAATCTGCATGATAGGTCTATAGCGTGAATGGCATAAAACAGAAGCTATCATCGAGATGGACCTTCAAGATCTCTTGGTACAAATAAGCTTATTCTCTAGGTATGATGATCCATAAGGACAATTCTTCCTAAAAAATAAACATTTATGTGATCAAGGAACTGTATACTATTACAAAACATTCTCTGTATTTAAAAACAAAAAGTTAAAAGAATCAGCCTTTTTCCCACTGAAATACAGCCTTTCTTAACTTCTGTGTTGGTTACAAATAAAATATCTATCTTTGTATATGTGTGAAACCAAAGCACCATGAATATTGCTCCATAGTACATCAGTAATGTAACTAATAGTACAAATGCCCAAGCTCTATTGATGTAAGTCAGCACCACCTTATATATAGTTTGTAACACCAGATAGGTGAATTATTCCAGGTGAATTATTCCAGTTTATTTTTCTTCTATTTAAACATGTTGCACTAGGAAACTTATCAAGGTCTGACATTAAGCTGAACATAGATAGGGACCATGTTCTATTTGAAATCATTAGTATAGGGCTACTCAACTTTGGAAGCTCAGGGGGCCACAGTGATACACTCAGTACATTCCAAGGTCCATAACTTAAGTGTGGTGTCTTATACATGCAAATATATATGCAAATAGCTTCTTTCACACTGACAGGCATGAATACAAAGATTAAGGCAAGACTACACAACAGGACGGCCCCATTTAAGTCTGTTCTGCTGATATTAATAAAATGCAATATTTACATGATTTCCACCCATATGACACACTTCTAACGAGCAATGACAGTCCAGGAATTTAACTACTAAAATGCATATCAATAGAAGACCATTATATTGACTCACCATTGTGGAGTGTGTTCCCAGTAGAGGCTGTTTTCAAAGGATCACACTTGCGGGCCACTTGTTGAGCCCCACATAAACCCAAACTGTGCCAGGGGCCATGTTTTGAGTAGCCCTGCTTTAGTACATATTTAAAGAAGACACAGAAATAAAAACGTGTGTTTCCATTAAAAAATGATGCAAAGTGGAAAAGCTAAGATTTGGTGAATAGTTCTTTTCTGATCATGAGTGATTAAGGATTATATAGTAATTGAAACTGGCCAGAATTCTAGCTAGCAACAGAAGCAGTTTTTAAATGTCTGCTTCTTAATTTGTATGTATTGACCATTTGATCGTGAAAAACATTAACAAAATCAGCAGCTGGCAGAACCTCAGCTTCTCTCATAAATGTCAGAGTTCTGACCCTCTTCATCTTCTTTCTTATGTTTTTATTACTCCTCTGCCGACCCTTCTCCCAATATAAAAACGTGTATATTCACATACCCTTTTGAATGGTCTCAACTACATTTTCTATCAAACATTATTCTGCTGTACTGTAAAATAAAACTCAGAGCAATCATCTACAAAATGATTTCTAATTTTTTATTCAAAGAATAACATAATACAGATTGAGAGAAAAATCATTCAAAAGTGAAAGAAAAAACTGTCCTACACACTAGGACACAAGGCTAAGTGTCAGATGTCTTGTATGTGCGAAGAAGTTGTTTTCCTGATTGCTCTCACGAGGCTATTTGCTCATTCTAAACATAGAACTCAAATGGTATGGTAATCACTAGAAATACTTTAAAAGGATGAACTTATCCATGATAAGTGGATTCTGTGGTCATTTTGTGTTTTTAAATTGGGATTACCAATTAATGTGTATCTTAGTCATTGGACATATTTTAAAAATTAAGCAATATTTTAAAAAGGAGTGAATTTCCATGTGACTTGCCCAGAGTTACTCTTAAACATTACAATGAATAAATCGACCTACTTTATATCCAGTACTTGCAACTTTCTCAAAGTTGTGACACTGCAAAGCAATTTATTTGTGATTTATATTGTGTATACTGACGCGTTGCCTTAAAGCTAATATTTGTATTTAAACACAGTGTGAGAAACTGCTTTGGAAGAGCAGAGTGCAAGGAAACACACAGTGTATGTGGGTTCTTGTCTTCCAATCTGATAAACCATTGCAAATGAGGCTCTAATCAAAAAAGGTATAGCCTTGGAAAACTTGAAATGCCGCTTAGGATAATACCTTAGTACTGGGTATGACTCTAGCATTTTAAGAGATTTAAGTAGCATTTTAAAACTAAGTATCAGGAGAAGTATCAGTAATTAGAAGCAATACAAAATTACTCCTCCTGGCTTAGTCCACTCTAGGACTATCCCTCAATCCCTGAAATATCCATGGAGGTCTTTGAAGTGGAAGTGGGTTCCTCCACAAGTATTTCATCCAGTCCTTTGTAGGATTTGCAGGTAGTGAGTGTAGCACCAGAGCCGTAGTTTGCCTCCCGCACCTTGTGGTAGTTGTTTCACAGCTCCTTCACTTTAAACATGCAGTGCAGTATGTCCCGGTTATGGCCCCTTTAGGTCATTCATCTCGATATCCACCGATAGGTGATATCATTCCTAGGGTGGTGCGCAGCTGGGATTGGACTGCTTTCTCTTCCCAAACACTGATGAGGTCCAGCACTATGGCCTGGCACCTGGTGCATGGAACAGTCCTGTCACCCAGAAAGATGTGCCAAAAGAGATGTAAAGAGCAGACCTGAGGGTTTGGTTACCTGAGGGCAGAAAAATTTAGTTGAAATCTATGATCAGAGCAGTGGCATTGTGCCAGGTACCAGATAGAGATGTAAAATCCCGGTTAACTAGTTAACCAAGTAAGTGGAATCCCACACGGGGTGGGAGGAAGTGGTGGCAGCAGGAGCTGGCAGCCTCAAGTGCAAGGGGGATGGCTTCTGCTACCAGTCCCCCGCCATGCTTGGGGCTGTCACTGCCCCAAGTGCAGGGCGGGGGAGGGGGATTGTTTCTGTCCCCCCTCCCACACATTTGGGGCTGCTAGCTGCAGCTCGCCCTCCCTCCCCACTTGGGGCTGGCAGCAAGAGCTGATCGGGCATCTGGTCTCTGCTCCTGGGTACTCCATTGCTCCCGGATAACACCTCTAGTACCAGAGACTTGTTATATTGCTGAATCCAAAGTGCATAAGCTGTACACCTCTCATAGAGGTGGCTTACCTAGAGAGCAGCAGCTGTGGACTTAGTGCTCACTAATTGCCTTGTCAATATGGACATCTCGGAAGTTAGTGTGAGCTGATCTATTGTGCTGTAACTTGCCGGTGTAGACGAGGCCTAAACTGGGCTTGGAACAAAGTTCCTATCCTGTTTCTATATATGTGCATTGAGAAATTGCCCTTGCATAGGTTGTAAGACGTCTTTTTATTTTAAAAAATTGCCCACTGTAGGGTTCCAAATTTTTATATCAATCATTTTTGTCTTTTTACTAACTTCATTTGCTGAAACATCAGTCTAGGAGCTGAAAGTCAAGCTGTGTTCTCACTGGCTTTAGTAAAGATTCCAGCTCTCTTGTTACGGTCAGGTCTTCAGTAAAGCTGTGTTGACTTAATGAAGTCAGTCCATGCTTTAGTAGGACTCTGCTGATTTCCATTAATTGAAAATATTGGCCCTTTTTATATCTGGTCTATTTTCCTATTAATACATTGGGAACCATGATTTCAGCTATTTTTCTATCAAATGCTTTTGGGATGAAAAGTAGATGACTTTTTTTTTTTTAAATATTAAAGTAGGAAACTAGTAAAGCATATATAAATTTACAGGTGTCTGGAAAACAATGGTTTTTTCCTTTTTGTAGGATCCAGATGGACTTCAGCAAAAAGAGACAGCTGCTCCACCAGCTTATGCATGTGTTCGTCCTGCGAGAGTGGTATCCTCCACATCAGAGGAGGAAGAAGCATTTACTGAAAAATTTCTCAAAATTAATTGCAAGTACATGACCTATGGCAAGGTACTAAAACGCCTCACTGTAAAACTTGCTCTGTTTTTAGATAAACTGTAAAGGTATGGATCCACAGTAATGGACAGATATTTGAGTTTATGCATTTTCTCTATATTCCTAGACTATATACTCTTTAGCTTTGGCACATCAAGAGAACTGATTTATAATGCAACTAGTTGTGACAGGTTGCCTTGTAGCAAAATTGTAATGTTTTCAAGGAACATGCAGTGACATGTAGATTGTATAACACTCCCATGCTAGCAGGCCCAAAGGGTGTCTTCCTAATTGGTTTCAGATGACAGCATATATGTACTTATCTTTAAGTACATATTTCTTGTTCACTGAAAATTTTTAGTTTGATTATAAATAGTGTATTTTTAATATGCAATGGAAATGTCCCATATATGGTAAGAACATGTCTTCTGGAGCAAGTGTCTTGGAAGAAATGTCCTGAAGTCTGAGCTTTGGTCCAGTTTACGAGCATTAGAGCATTGAAACTTTCCAAGTATGCTGGAGGCAACTGATTGATCTACTAGGAACCAAGATCTTTCTCCAAAGCTTTCATCTGTGTCTACTAATGAAGAATTCTGTGCCACGGAAATAAATGGATCTAGGAAATGATTAAGCAAATTTTGGGGAAGCTGAGCTACTTTATCGTAGGCAACTCATTCAGCTTGCATTCAGTGTCTTTCAGGTTGTTTTCTGAGGATGCTTTTTCAGCCTGCGGAGCTGAAGATAAAGCTGTTAGTCCTCAGTCTAGATTTACGTTAGTACAGCTACACGTGTAAAGAGTTTCTGGTATAGTATACTGGCAAAGCACTATTAGCACCAACTACACTTTCTGCAATATATCTAATTCCAACCCACCCTGAATTAAAATAAGCTATACTGTCAAAAGTGCATTACTTTGCACTTTTTTGTTGCTTTGATTCATGTCCTGTAAAGTCAAGATGTTCTTTATAAAAATGCAGACTCAGAGCTATGCAGTTTTCCTGTTTTGAAAAGAGTAAGAGCACTATGATGGTATACACAAATTTCACATGGGGTCAGAAAGAATTGAAGGACAGTATTGGACAGAGAGAGCCTTTTCCAATCAGCCCAAAAGAGCATTCTCCAACTGCAGACTTAGGGTTAAATTGAGAGCAACATAGCTTAGAGGGGAGGAATACAGACCTACCATGAATTCTCCTGACAAAGGGGCCAGAGAAGCTTTTTGAAGTAAGAGATCTTTGTGCTATGCCCTGCTGAAGCTGACAGTTTGGTTTCTTTTTTCTTTTTCTTTTTTCCTTCTCTGGGAGGGTAATTCAGAGGCCTCCTCCAAGCCGAACTCCAAGCTGTTAATTAACTGGACAAAGTCTTATCCAAGTTCATAAACAAATATTAAGTTTTATTCTTGAAATAAACTTAATCCTTGATGCTTCCCTTTAGAGTAAACTGAGACACTGTTTGTTTTTACGTGTTCTGGTAATACCTAATAAATATGAAAAACAAGCTTATTAGTATGTGGCAAGGAGAACTATAGCAGAAGTAAACCCACACCCGATAGACAGGGGTATGTATGTATGTATGTACTTTCTATTCTCTAGGATTTCCTTAGCCAACATAAAAATAGCTTACAAAATTATTTTACTTGGGTGACTAAAATCTGTTTTTCTTATTAGTGAGTGAAACAGCACTTATATTTTTGCTTTTCACCATCACTTTAAAGAATGGCAATGAAAACTTGAGGGGTTTCTACTTATCCTGGTAAACTTTCTTGAAGTGCCTGCAAATCGGTAACTGAGAGCATTTATGTCTCTCTACTTTAAATAAAGCTAAGCGGTTCATCAGCGTAGGAAATAACAGTCAAGATGACACATGACTAATGAAAGATTCTTTTCTTTTAGTGTGGGAAATTTGGATCCTTCAGTACTATGCCCTTGATCCAATAAGAAAGATCTACATAGTAAATAGCACAAGTAGAAATAAAGATCCAATCCTGGAAATGTGACCCAAGTAGAGACAATAGTAGAACAAAAAATATTATTTTTTAGGGCTTGGGGTCAATTGCCCAAGGTCTTTTTGCTGAAGTCATGCAGCCTCATTGTTCAGTGTTGATTATCCTGAAGATGATGAAATAGGCATTGTTTATAGAGAGCACAGATTATGTTGAAAGCCATCATGGAGACTTACTGGTCTTGAATTTTGGGTTACCTTTTTGTGTTTAAATCCTCATTCACTTCTGTATCTTTGCTAGCTTACTTTTATGTTATCTTATGTCTAGTGCTGTGACCAAATTTAGGCTGTTGGGTAAGAGATGGAAATCCAGTACCTCAATAGTAGCATTCTCTGAAATGCTTCCAGTTTCACACACACGGCCAGATACAGGCAGAACTGCAGAGTCTTAAAGCGTGGATGAGATGATGGTGTAAAGAGGAGGGGTGTAGATTTATTAGAAACTGAAGAAACTTTTGGGAAAGGGAGAGCATATACAGTAAGGATTGGTTCCACCTGAAACAGAATAGAACCAGATTATTCTCACTTAACGTTAAGAAAGTTGTAATACAGTTTTTAAACTAAGATCCTCTGACAGGTGCAGAGGAGCACATGGACAGGACAGAGACATCTGAATCTGGGGAGGGTCTGTAAACAGAAGAGGATGGAAGATGATAAAATATGGGTAAGATCTGATAAGAAATAGGGATGTAAGTGACTAGTCAAGTAGTGGACTACCCAATAAGCCTAGGATTATTGAGTAGTTAAGTCATTACTTAACTACTCACTCCCTCCTCCCCTTGCTGCCTCTCTATCAGAGGCAGCAAGGAGGAAGCAGGAGCCGGTGCGGGTGGAGCCAGCTTAAAAGCTGGTTTTCCGCCCAGTACTAGTCCAGCTTGTGCCAGGTCCCAAAACATTGTGGCTCTGCTTTTTAAATGAAGTAAGAGCTGCAGCATGAGCCAGGACTGCTCAGTCTCGGCTTGTGCCAGATTCCCTGCTGTGCCTCTGCCACCAGGCTCTTACTATGTTTAAAAGACAGAGCTGATCTGGCTCATGAGGTTCTGGGACCACAACTACTTTGTACCGACTTGCACTGCCCCCGGGAGCTAATCCCCTTATTGACTACCTTATTAACCACTATTTAATATCCCTAGGCTGCGTCTAGACTGGCATGATTTTGCGCAGAAGATTTGCTTTTGTGCAAAAGCATCAGTACCAGTGTAGATGCTCTCTTGCGCAAGAAAGCTCCGATGGCCATTTTAGCCATCTTGCACTGGCCTTCTTGCACAAGAATACTTGCGCAAGAGGGCTTATCCCTGAGTAGGAGTGTCGGAGTATTTGTGAAAGAACCACTGATTTTGTATAGTACAAAGTCAGTGTTCTTGCACTAATACTCGCGGCCAGTATAGACAGGCAGCAAGATTTTGCGCTAAAGCAGTTGCTTTTGTGCAAAATCATGTCAGTCTAGACGCACCCCTAATGAGAAACAGTCAAAAAGAAAGAGTTCCATTCAGTCACATCATGTAATGGAAGACCGCTATACAGTGACAAGTTTTTCTAGTCTAAATAAGATGGGTGAACTATAGTGCCTCATATTAAATGAAGATGTTGATAGTCATCACATGGAATGAGGATTATCAATGGGACCTAGTAATACCAAGGACTGAACAGGTCATGCAGGTGGGGAAGTGGCACTATGTGGAAGTGTGGAATCAAGTGAAGTAAAAAACTTATGCATACCAAGCTTCTCCATAGAATCTCTATGGATTCCATGCTCTAATCATATGAATATAGCCATAGGGATGTGTTACTGACTACCTGACCAAAATGGTGATAGTTACTATGAAATGTTAGTGGAGATAAAGGCTATAAAAACAAAAAAGAACCTCAGTAATAGTGGGAGATTTCAATATCCCCATATTGACTGGTTATACATCACCTCAGGATGGGATGCAGAGATGGAGAAGCAATTCTTGATTTAGTTCTAAGTGGAGCACAGGATCTGGTCCAAGATGTGAATATAGCTGGACTGCTTGGAAATAATGACTGTATATGTAAAATCCCATGTAATTCATTAGTTAACTGATTAAATATTAAGTTTAGACAGTTACCCAATTATAGGAGGGGGCGGGCAGTCCCCACCAGTTAACAGTAACTGGTAAGCATCATCCAATAAGGGTGATGCTTACTGGTAAACCGTTCACGTCCCTAATAGTGACCATAATATAATTAAATGTAATGTCCTTGTGGCAGGAAAAACACCTCAGCAGCCCTACACTATGGCATTTAATTTCAGAAAGGGGAACTATACAAAATGAGAAGGTCATTTTAACAGATATCAAATGGTACAGTGACAAAAGTGAAATCCCGACAAGACACATGGACACTTCTCAAAGGGCACGACTACACAGCCTGATAGAGAGGCAGCAGCACAGGGTGGTGGGGGCTCCCTGAGAGTGGGGCTTGGAGCACACTGGACACCATCCCTACTTCCAGGGACAACTGAATAGTGGTGTAACCACCAAAATTTTATGCAGTTACATGACTATTGAATTACATGCTCTCTATTATCCGTAGTTAGGAATAGCCTGCAGCAATATCCTTTGTGCACGTTTGTAGGATGCTGAATTACTACAGCTTGCTGCCTTTCAGAAAAGACTTAAGTCTGCCTTTTGGTGACAGAAGAGTGAGAATGGCTCAGTAGTTCACCACTGAAACATTGTATAAATTGATTTCAAAACAAAAATACTAGAATTAATCTAAAATCTACTGTTTGAGAGTGTCTCTGTATGTCTGTTCAAGAACTCCTCCTAAATGGTAAGAGCTAGGACCACCAAATTTGGTATGCAGCTTCCTCTTATCATAACTTAAAGGAAGGTCTGGGTTTGGATGTACCAGGAACATGGGAAATGTCTGGAATGGAATTGCTTCTGATAAAACCATAAACAAAGAGAATCACAGGCAGATAAAAGGGGCTGGGTACTAGGGATGTTAGCTGTCAGGTAATAGAATTGTCAACCAACCACATGAATTTTTAGCAGTTTGTCGACCATTCTATAGTCCCTGCAGGCAGGGCCAGCAGCCAGTGCAATCTGGCCCCACTCCCAGAGAGCCCCCGGTACTCCACGCAAATGGGGTGCCATTTGGGAGCCAGCCCACAGGGGGAGCCAGTTTAAAACCCAGCTCCCTGTGCAGACCGGCTACCTGCCACCCTCTTCTGCTGCTTCTAATCCAGAGGCAGCAGCGTGCGATGGCAGCATGTTCTATTTGTGGGCGTCCAAGCTTCCCACGATTCATGGACAGAGGCTGCTGGGTGGGGAGGAAGCAGAAGAGGCTGCCATGAACAGAAGCTGCTCCAGCAACAGCCCCTGTCTGCGGGGTCCCAGTGGACAGGGGCTGCTGCCAGAGCCCACCCACAGCTGGTCCCCCCAGCACTGGCTCCTGCTCCCACACTTGCTGCCTCTGTCTTACAGAGGCAGCACGGAGAAGTGGGGAAATGTGAGTAATTGCCTAGATTAACTGATAAGCCTAGGCTTATCAGTAAGTCATCACTACTGTGTACGTGTGTGCGCGCATGCACACAGACACACACACACACCCTCCATCCAGCTCCAAGCATCCCCCTCGGGTGACCGTAGGGACTGACACTCTCCTCCCCTCCCCAAATTCATTAGTTTAGTGCATTCCTCATTCTATCTGGGGAGAACAGGGGACAGATTAATCTGGACCTGCTCCAGCCAGGGAACATGCATCTCTCCCCTGGCTGTGCCCGCTGAAGCTACAGCAGCCATGGAGAGAGGCTGGTTCACCTGGCTAAGGTAGTCCTCTCTCCCCAGGGTAACTTATATACTGAATACATCATCCCCATCCTAGAGCAATGATTTAAAGGAAACTTTTACGTTTTCATTTTCTTTTCTTTTCCAAAAAACAAAAATGGTCTTAAGGACCCAAACAATGGTGGGGTAAATCTTATATCCAATATTTGTTGCATAATATTTGACACATCATTACTCATTGGTGTCTCTTTGTATTGATTCTAAGAATTTAAAAGCTATTTTAATAATCTCTTATGTGCCTTGAACTGAAGAGATATTTGGTGCAGCATTTTAAGTGAAGTTAGAATCATGCTATATTTAATCATGTAAAAGTAAAATATATTTTTTTATGAAATACAATTTAAAGTTGTCACGGACCTCCTCTGTGGACATGAATATACTTAACTCAAAGTCGCTTTGAGCAAATTATTTCATGTAACCTATCAATCTTCATGTCCTGATCTGCTGTTCCTGTTTATCTTACTTTGATGTGTGTATCATTCTTGTGTGCAAAATTAGACATTTGGAGTAGGGAATACTTTGATTTTTAAATGAAAGTCATCAAGAGAGGCCTCAGTGTCTGTGCAGTCATATGCAAATAGCCTTTTTTCCTTAAGGCTTAACAGTGGTTGGTAGGGAGTAGCCAGATGACTCATAAGAACGGCCATACTGGGTCAGACCAAAGGTCTATCTAGCCTAGTATCCTGTCTGCCAACAGTGGCCAATACCAGATTCCTCAGAGGGAGGGATAACAACAGATGTAATCCTCAAGTGATCCCTCCTCTGTTACCTACTTCCAGAGAAACAGAGGCTAGAGACACCATTCCTACCCATCCTGGCTAATAGCCTTTAATGGACCTAACCTCCATGAATTTATCTAGCTCTTTTTTTAACCCTGTTAAAGTTCTAGCCTTCACCGTATTCTCTGGCAAGGAGTTTCACAGGTTGACTCCCCATACAATAAGGGAATTATTTAAAAAGAATACGGAAGTAGGAGTCTTTTGGCTGGGCTGCACCTAAATAAAGGAGTCAAAGACTCCAGGGTGGGGGAAGAGCCCTGGTTTGGAGAGGGAGCTGGAAAAGAGGTTTTAGGGTAAGGTTGAGAGAGTTTGTATTGAGGTTTCAGTGTAGAATTAGTCAAGCATTTTTGTTTCTTTTGATTTATAATCTACTTTGCTCTACCTGTTCTCATTTATTACCACTTAAATTCTGCTGCTTGTACTTAATAAAATAACTTTTATTTACTATCAGTTCCACTGCAAATAATTGTTACCTGGGGACCAATCAGTGTGCATGTTCCCCCTTTCATTGATACAGGTGGCTTACCTAATTCTTTGGGGTTTCGATCCCATTTGGGGAGTGGTATCCAGGAAGGTGGGCCCTAAACTGCACTCTCCTTGGACCTGAAGAGGTTCAGTGTCTGTACTCCTCCTTGTGGGGGAAGGGATCTCAGTTTGGGGCCTTGGCTGGGGGAGGCCAGCGGAACAGGCCCAGAAGGACTAGATAGTGACGAGCCCCGGAGAGAGGGAAGGCGAGTGGCAGTGGTCGTGACAGCACCCTGGGAGGCACCCCCCACGGGGGGTCTGCTGTGACCACCCCCTGTCACAAAAGTATTTATTACATGAATAATATCTTTATTATTACCTGATGGATGGGTCCATTGATTAAGTAAGCCAGAAAGGTTTATGCTAGACATGTGTGGTATGTCAGCACTTCAAAATAACGTATTTGCAGTTGACCCAAGCTCTAATATGTCTGCCTGCATATTGCCTCTCGCAATGCAGAGAGATCCACACTTCTGCCACTCAGTATGAGGGGAAGTAGAGACAAAATGACTGGCGCAAAGTGTTTTCTCTCACTTACCAGAAGAGTTGAGATTTTTCTTTTTGAAAAGTGGATCGCATTGGTCCACATCTGCTTGAAGAGGGAAGGTAGTATCTCCAACTATAGGGACTAGTTTGTTTGGCTGTAGAACACAAAAAGTTCTGGTACTATCATTGTCTAGCAAAGTTTACATTAGTAGGAACAAACCCCAGAAAAGATTCTGTTTTCAGAAGAAAGGTGTTTGAAAGTAATTTTCTTTAGTTAAAGAAATGAGGGGCAACTCAAACTTAAAGGAAACCTTGAATTTTTTCCCACTCTCATTTTAGGGTACAGTCAGTGGTGTGCTGCTAGTGACGCCAAATAATATCATGTTTGATCCACATAAAACTGATCCTTTGGTCCAAGAGAACGGCTGCGAAGAGTATGGCATCATGTGTCCAATGGAAGAAGTGACGTCAGCTGCTTTGTATAAAGAAATTGTGGACAGCAAAATAAAGGATTCATTACTCATGTAAGTTAGACTAATATTTGTAAAATTTGGCAAAAGTTGCATAGCGTCTTAATTAGTAACTATATACTAAAACAGTGAACTTTGGTTGAGAATATCTTAACTTGGAGTGACATGGAAAACTACTTTATATGTGTTTTCTTGGAATATTATATGTTCTACATACATCAAATGAATTTTGGCTTCTTCATCTCCTATACATTATCAACTGTTGGAAAAGTTAGCATTTGGCAATACTTACCATATTTTTGTCTCATATTTACAATTGCTTTCCTATTACAACTGTTAACAGAAGAATTTTTTGATGGTGACCATTGCAAAACAATAGTTTTGAAATGATCACCAATTCTTGAGTAATTTTGGATAGAAATCTTAATATATCTTTCATGGTTGACTTCCAAAGAAGAAAATGTACCTCTTTTTATGAAGTATAAACAGGCCTGATTTGTTTTCTGCCTTTTTTTTAGTAGCATCAGAAGTATAGTGAACAGCAAAATAAAGGATAAGTTATCTATGTAGGTGCTGGAGCACTGGAAAAATGGAACAGCATGTTTCTTGCTCTGGTGTCAGTTGATGTGTAAAAGGATTCTGAAGCTTAAGCAAAGAGCCTTTTCCCCAAATGTTCATTATGTAATACGTGTGGATTGGTTTTGTTTTTAAAGCTTTAAATAGTATGCCCCCAAATTTCTTCCCCTCAATACCACAGAGCTTACATTGGTGCAGTTGCAATACTGCTAGTGCACACACTCTTAGTTTATGGGAGAGAGCTCTCCTATTGACTTCATTACATCCATTCAAGGGGGTTGGAGTAATTATGTTGGGGGGAGAAGCTCTCCCATTAACATAGTGCAGTCTACATGTGCACTTAGGTCAGTATAATTTACGTGTGTGTGAGAGGGGGCAAATTGTTCCAAGATATATTAACTTTGAATTCCACTTCTTTAAAAATCGACTGCAAAACAACGAGAAGTCCTGTGGCACCTTATAGACTTAACAGATTTATTGGAGCATAAGCTTTCATGCACAAAGACCCACTTCGTCAGATGAATCCAATAAATCTGTTAGTCTATAAGGTGCCAAAGGACTTTTCCTTAGTCTGAATCTGCAAGAACAACACGACTACACCTCTGATACTGCAAAACAAAGATCCTGAGAAATCTGAGGTATAGACTTTCGTTTTTCTACACAAGTTCTGTAAATCAAAGGAATGAAAATAGGGATTTCAAATTTGCATTTTATTCTGTTGGAGTAAATCAGAGTTTATGCAGGAAGTCTGTAACTCTACTGTCTCAAAAATGTAAGCCAAAATGTTCAAAACTAAAACATTTTCAAAACTATATTCTAAAACTAGGCAACTCATTCTCATATCTATGGTGCCAAAATAAGTACCTTCTGAAAATCAGGTGTGTACAGGCAGATGTTGAAGCCTAACTTTAAGATGGAAAAAGAAAGTCAAGTGCCTAGAGTGCTAACACTCAAAATTCTTTAGTAGAACTGGGCAGGAAATGGTTTTCCTGTCTTGGAAAAATGTTTGTCATTTACAAAAAAAATTACTCCCTTTATTGGGATGAAAAGTTAAATCTTGAAAGTTTTCACAGATTGACAAGCCAGAAAATTCTGTTCAGGTCACCTAAAACATATTACTGTATTTTAATTTTGACCATTTTTAATTAAAAATTTCCTCTTGTAATAGTCTTTAAGTTTAGAAACAGAGTAGATTGATACCAAAAAATCAGAAATATTTGTTTAGAAAATACCAAAATGGGCCATTTCACTTTAACTTTTTTTTAAAAACTGATTCAAGTCAATTCGGGGAAGCCATCCTATACCAATGAGCAGTCATGGTTTCAACAGAACAATGGTTTTCACAAGGAAATAATTTGCCAAAGTATTCCTAAGAAGCTGTGTTTACAAGGCACTTGGATAGTGGGCAGAAGAGAGCCGTATAATTATCCACAGTGAAATTTGAAGTTCTGTTCCCTTTATTCCCTGCCTCCTACCACCAGAGTCTCTCTTTTTGCTCTGCAAGTTAAATAATTATTTTCCAGAACCCAGGAAATACCCTAATCATTTTGCCCAAGGAGACATTCTGAGCTTCGTAAAATGGAATATTCAAGCTACGCAATTGCTTGTAGACGGAGATGGATTTTTCTAATTCCTCTACATTCTCTGTTGCTCTAGAAGACTTTGAATGCCAGCCAGAAACTGTGTCCTGTGGACAAACTGAATTATGAGACTTGTGAGGACATAGAGGTGCAATAAAGGAATTATAAATATGGCCAAAAATGTCTTTGTAACACATAGCTATCTCTTGATATTACCTCTATGAAAATTATCAATTAACATACATCTCTTTCTTCATAGCAAATTTTAAATTTCCTGCATAATGAGGTGGGTGAAAGGAGACTTGTGAAATTTTCTAGTATGGGTTGAACCTCTCTAGTCCGGTATCCTCAGGACCTGATGGGTGTCAAACCAGGGAATTGGCTTAACCACGGAAGGTCACTATTGTTTAGCAACATTACCAGCATTTCCATTGTTTACTGGGGATGTGATGTTTAACTGGTTAACCAGTAAGACTCACCCTTAATGAGTGGGGCTTATCAATTATGGTTAACCGATGGGGGCTGGAGTAGCCCCCCCACACACACCCTATAGGGGCTTCTGCTCCATGGGGCCTGCTGCAGTTGGTGGGGGAAGTGAGGGAGGAGGTGCTTCAGCCCAGCCAGAGAAGCCCTAATCAGTGGTGGGCCTGGCCAGGGTCTGCCAGAGGCCAGGGTGCAGCAGCCCAACCAGAGCATCCCCCATCCACAGAAGGGGGACTCCTCCAGCCCGGCTGTACTTATTAAATGAGATTTTATATCCCTACTGCTTACTGAGATCTTAGAAGACTTTTAGGGGTACATTAGAGCTAAATTAACAGCACAAAACACTGAGAACCAGAACTGGTGTCTGTAAACAAACTTTATGGGATCACGGGAAACTTGGCCACACCCATGATAAGTAGACATTGGGCTGACTAAAGCCAGGCCATGGATGTTGCCAGATCAGAGTGTGCCGGACTGAAGAAAAGGTCAACCCGTGTGTCTTTATTGAAAGGTTCTTCCTGATATTTCAGAAATTCTTGGTTAAGTTTTGTCCTGGTTTTTCTTCCTAGTTCAGAGCCTCTGATATCATTGTTTATATTTTTTTCCTTTCCCTTTAGTACAAATAAAGTGTCCATCTCCCAACCCTAGTTAGAGAAGGCTATATGTATTTAACTCTTTTTTTTTTCCTAATGGGGTAGTATCTCTAGCCCCAAATTATTTTACTTTTTTCATTTTTATAAGTAGGTAAAGAGGTTCAGTGCTATCAATGAATTGCTTAGAAGTGAATGCAGTATTTCAGGTCTGGTCTCTACAGTGCCAAATTAGATGGGCACTAGCATCAGATGCTGCTTTGTTTGCTGCCCGAAATCATTTCTGATTACATGTGAATCTTCTGTATATTTCTCTTGCTGAGTTTTCCTGCTCACTTCTAGGTTTCTCTGGAATTACTTTTTTTCAGAATATTATTCAGAATTCTTCACATCCAAGCCATATTAGCATTTCTTCAGCCTCATGTTTTTATAGCTATTCAAAATGTAAACTTGGTTATAGCGTACATGGTGCTATGGGGCATGCTTTGTGGGGATTTTTTTTTTGAGACTTACAATAGGATTCAGCCCCTAATCAGGGCAGCTGAAGCTCAGAAATTCAAATAATTGAGTAATGATCCAGTTGTTTTCCTATTCATTTTAAGAAATTGGAGTAATCCTGTCAGGTTTACTAACTATTCGGCCTGAATAAGTGTCCTTGAATTGCATTGTGGACTAACATAGGTCCTAATAAAACTAATAGGACATATTCAATATATGCTTATTAGGTCAGTATAATCATAATTATATATATTTACATATAGCAAAGGAACCTTAAAACAAATCTCTATAAAGGCTTGAGAAGATATATCAGATGGTAGCTCTGAAATCTCATTTCTTTTGGTGGTAGTTCCCAGATGTAATTCTTGCTGCTGAAAGGTAACTTTTTTTCCCCTTTGACGATAACATTTGTTTTTCCTAATGACTGAGTTTAGAATTACGCATTTACAAAGCGTGATAACTGGAGAGAGAACATTTTTCAAATTCTATATTGTGTATTCTTTGTCACCTTATAATTTGTGGAATTAAAAAATAAATATGTAAAAATTCACCCCTGCCTTCTGAAAAGCTCCTATGCATGAGATTGCTATCTTAGTTATAAACATCTAAATAGAAACCAAATCTCTTAGTCACATTACTATAATGTCAATCCAAATGCCACTATGCTATGGCTCACTTGAAAAAGTGAGTCATGTTTGTAAAGTTGCAGTAGCATGAGATTCAAATTCAGAATCTTAGTCTGGATCTGTGGTTGCAATAGCTAAATTAGATTACCGTATTTTCCGGCGTATAGGGCGACTGGGCGTATAAGACGACCCCCTATCTTTTTAATTAAAAGATAGGGTTTCATCTTATCCCCCAGCGCCCTTCCGCCTCCTTTGCTCCCGGTGTCCCTGGTCTGCTGGAGATGGTCCCCAGCAGACCAGAGGCACCGGGAGCAAAGCCGCCAGGAGCGCCTGGGCTCCCCCCCGCCGGAGCCCCTCCGTGGCTTTGAAAGCCTCGGGGGAAGCCGGCGGGGGGGCAGCCCATGCGCGCCTGGGATGCCCCCCCGCCGGCTTCCCCCGAGGCTTTCAAAGCTGCGGAGGGGCTCCGGCGGGGGGGCAGCCCATGCGCGCCTGGGATGCCCCCCCGCCGGCTTCCCCCGAGGCTTTCAAAGCTGCGGAGGGGCTCCGGCGGGGGGGCAGCCCATGCGCGCCTGGGATGCCCCCCCGCCGGCTTCCCCCGAGGCTTTCAAAGCTGCGGAGGGGCTCCGGCGGGGGGGCAGCCCATGCGCGCCTGGGATGCCCCCCCGCCGGCTTCCCCCGAGGCTTTCAAAGCTGCGGAGGGGCTCCGGCGGGGGGGCAGCCCATGCGCGCCTGGGATGCCCCCCCGCCGGCTTCCCCCGAGGCTTTCAAAGCTGCGGAGGGGCTCCGGCGGGGGGGCAGCCCATGCGCGCCTGGGATGCCCCCCCGCCGGCTTCCCCCGAGGCTTTCAAAGCTGCGGAGGGGCTCCGGCGGGGGGGCAGCCCATGCGCGCCTGGGATGCCCCCCCGCCGGCTTCCCCCGAGGCTTTCAAAGCTGCGGAGGGGCTCCGGCGGGGGGGCAGCCCATGCGCGCCTGGGATGCCCCCCCGCCGGCTTCCCCCGAGGCTTTCAAAGCTGCGGAGGGGCTCCGGCGGGGGGGCAGCCCATGCGCGCCTGGGATGCCCCCCCGCCGGCTTCCCCCGAGGCTTTCAAAGCTGCGGAGGGGCTCCGGCGGGGGGGCAGCCCATGCGCGCCTGGGATGCCCCCCCGCCGGCTTCCCCCGAGGCTTTCAAAGCCGCGGAGGGGCTCCGGCGGCGGGGCATCCGGCGTACAAGACGACCCCCGATTTTTGGGGGATGTTTTTTAACTTCAGAGGTCGTCTTGTACGCCGGAATATACGGTAGGAATTTGATGAGATCTGTCTTCTTTCTAACTGTTTTTAATTTGATTATAGCTTCTGGCTTTTCTAACTTATTTTTGCTTCTGCAGATTGTCTCCTGATTATCTACTTCAAGAATTGCTTTCCATCTCCTTGATAAACTCATTCAAAACTAATTCACTTTTGTAACCTTCAACAATAAAAATCTGAGCCCTTATGAGTTCTTTTTTGCAAGGAAATTAGAATTCACGAAAGCTAAAGGGCTCATGTCAGTCTTGTTAGTCTATGTGGATTTACAGCATCTTTGATTCAGTTAAGCTCGACTACCTGCTGAGAGTTGCATGGAATGTATTTAGTACTACTTGTGTTCCTTACAGATTTTGGTGACTGAGCATTAAGATTGCTCAAATATATTCCTTATCAGTGCAGTTACTAAAAAATTGAGGAAATTTCCAGTTTAAGACATTATAATCCAAACACACTTTAATTCATAGCTTACTATCTAAACATATTTAGTCTGAAAAGAAGGCTGAGACTTAATTCCAACCTCCTGTCTTAACAATTACACAATATACTTAAAAAAGAGGTACATGCACTGCTAATGAAATCTGAATCTTAGTGTGAATTTAATGCATTAAATATATGTATTGTGGGATAAAATGTACTGAAGATGTCTTTCAAATGGAAGGTGCTTTCCCCTAAGCACATGAAGTTAAGGCAAAACTTCCTAGAAGGAACTAGACAACAGGCACTTTTTAGAATTTTGTTTTGTTTACTTCTGACTGGAAAAAAAATAAATATATACTTATTGTCCCTATCCCCTCTCCCAGTATTCCATGTCCTAGAACCACATGTGCTAGTCCATTCTGAAACCTCTACCTTCAGGTTGGTAATACATAGTGTTAGTGTGAATAAGTGCATTGAATTATGCAGTGAATGAGAGGTCATCTTTACACTTATTGCAATGTACCTTTTGTATTAGGCCAGATCTAAACAAGCTGTACTAGCAAATCCTCCTAGTGTACTAGTTCCTTGAGTAACAAAAGCACATTGACATATAACTATTTATATTAGAGCCTTTGCTGGTATATAAGTGTAGCCCCTCCAAAAAAAACACAACAAAAAGAACTACTAACCTAGCAAAAGATACTGTTGTAAAGACCTGTCATTACAAAATAATCATTCTCTTTACTGCAAGTGGCCTTTACAATAATTGTAAACTACAGGCTTAGAACTTTTCAAGAAGACCAACTAAATGAACTTCTAAAGATCACTTTAGCATTAACATCTCTAATCCCTTTTAGGGAAAAAAAGTTAAAATAAAAGGCACTTTTTTGTGATAACTTTGATTTATCCTTTGCTTAACAGAGATGTAGAACCATTATCTGTAAGGGACCTCTGCCATTTCAAGAAAATTACAAGAAGCAATACAGATGAAATGGACTTGAAGGTTCGGGATACAGGGAATGACAGTGCCAGCACAGCCCCTCGGAGCACCGAAGAGTCTCTTTCAGAGGATGTATTCACAGAATCTGAACTTTCTCCAATACGTGAGGAACTTGTTTCTTCAGATGAGCTTCGACAAGACAAATCTTCTGGTGCCTCATCAGAATCTGTCCAAACGATAAATCAAACAAGTGCAGAATGTTTAACAGTAATTTCAGACTCAACCAATGTTCCCAGTGACTTAAAATCCAGCATTGAACTGCCTTTAAATAACGGTGGATTTGTAACCCATACTGTTGGTTCAGTATCTGCTGAAATGGCAATACGGGAAGGAGAGAACACTGCAGAGGAAAAAGATTCAAATGCCCATCAGAAATCTTTGCAAGAGGTGCAACCCAGCAAAGAATGTGGAACAGATGTAGACATTGTCATAGATCAAGATTCCACACTAGAGAATACACAAAAAAGAGAGTGTGAGGTAAGGAAGGAATGTCTACTTTGTGAAAACGTCACAGACTCTCAAAAAAAAGAGACCGTTAGCAGGGAAAAGCTAGTGAAAGAACTAACTCGAGATTCGGATACAGAAGTTGAAGAGCTTCGTAAACTCTGGAAGATTCACACTATGCAACAGACCAAGCAACAAAGAGAAAACATGCAGCAAGATTCACAAAAAGAAATTAAGCACAAAATGGAGACCACAGCAGATGAACAAATAGAAGGTGAGTCAAAGTTTAACGAATAAAATAAATATGCACATACTTTTTAACCATCTGCCCATCACCACAACAAAAAATGCTTAAGAATATTAATCTTTCAATGCATATATTAACTTCTGTAAATCATTCTTAGGAATAATTCTTAGGGAAATCTTATCTCCTTGTATGTACATGCTGAAATTTCTCCCTTGATGATAGATATAATTCATACTACTTGACAAATTGTCTAGAAAATTTGTTCAGAGAAAGGTTTACTATTGGAGGAAAGGTGAGTTTGAAGATTTGCATTCGTATTCTTCTTTTCGTACTCTTTGAGCTTGTCTATTACAAACTTTTAAAACGTGTTCCATATATTAGATTGAGAAAAAAACCTGGATAGTACCTGTATGAAACATGAACATGAACATTCTTTCAGAGTTAAGACAGTGCTTGCATATCATAAAACATAGCAATATTATTGGGTTAGTAGTTTTATCTAGTAACAAAAATAGCTGCATTTTGAAAGGCCAACCCATTTAATTGTTGCATTATTCTGTGCTAAGAAGTTTGGCTTTAATACTCTAAATTGTTATAAGAAGTGTTATTTTACACAATATGTTCTCTCGCTGTGCCTGGTAATTTTTCATTTGTATCTTTAGTAATGTTCACAGGGGAAAGTACACCCATGGCTCCTATCTCCCAGCTTACTGTTGGTGCTAATAGCCCCATTATTGCACCAGGCACCATTCAGAAACTTTTGAAACATCATCTCATATTTAATTGTGAATATACAGTTCAGTTTGTGCAAAAATGCATGCACATAGTTATAGTTATAGACTGACAAAACTTTTGTTACGGTGTTATGTTTGTTATACGCATTCATAAATTATCTGAAAAAAGGGTGAATGGAGAGGTGGCAAAAGTTTTGAAGACAATACTAAATTACTGAACGTAGTTAAGACAATACCTAGGCTATGTCTACACTGGTAGGTTCTTGTACAAGAACACATCCACACTGCCATGTGTGAGATGTGCTTTTGCACAAGAGCATCCATGGCAGTGTGGACGCTCTCTTGCAAGAAAGCTCTGATGGCCATTTTAGCCATAGGGCTTTCTTGCACAAGAAACACCTGCCATGAGTCCACACTGCCCTCTTGTGCAAGAGCTGTTGCACAAGAAGGCTTACACGTACGTGTGTGTGTGTGTGTGTGTGTGTGTAAAAAAAAAAAAAAAAAAAAAAGCGTAGCTCTTGCGCAAGAAGCCCTCTCTTATCACGCCGTACTGTAAGTCTTCTTGCACAAGAGCGGGCGGGCAGTGTGGACGCTCTGTGGGTTCTTGCACAAGAACCCGCCAGTGTAGAGAGAGCCTCAGAATAAAGAGTTGCAAAGGATCTTACAAAACTGGGTAACTGGGGGAAAAATGGCAAATGGAATTCAGTGTTGATAATTGCAAAGTAATGAACATCAGAAAACATGATTCCAACTACATATGTAAAACAGTGGGGGTCTAAATTATACGGATATTGGAGTCTTCATGGATAGGTCCCTGAAAAAAACTTTTTCGACAGCCACTGCACAGTAAGCAAATAATGTCAGGAAGCATTAGCAAGGGGATATAAATTCTCATAATGGCTTTATCATCTATTGTATGTCCACATCGTAACTATTGAGTACAGGCTGGTCCTCTCATCTTAAAAAAAAAAAATTAGAATTGGAAAAGATACAGAGGGGGGCAACAAAATGATTAGGGGTATAGAACTGCTTCTGCAGGAGGAGAGGTTAATAAAAAGAATCCTTAGAAATAAGGCATAAGTGCTGGGGAACTCCAGGGCAGCAGGAAGAGGCAGGATGGGGGTGGGACATGGGGCGGAGCAAGTTGTTGAGCAAGTGGTTTAGCATCCTTTAGGCCTGGAGGAAGCTGAGGTATAGTCTGGGCTCCCTTATGCTTTTTTCTGAATAGTCCCTTAGGATTTTTGGCAGCCAGAGTAATTTTAGTGCTTTTAGAGATGAATTTACATAGAAATACAGGATAGTACTTGAATTACTTACCACCTTCTATACACTCCTGTGCTTCTAAGCTGTTAGTTGCAACTTAGGATCAGGGCACTAGTGCTTTTTATTTTTGTTTTTGTTTTCCAAACTGGACTGTATTCTTCTTGCTTTGTAAAGGCTTCCTGAATCAACTTTAAGTGTTGTGGGGTTCAGTCTGTCTCTGAGGCTCTTTATTTTGGTTTGTTCCTCATCACCTTAGCTAAATTTGGCAATGTATACCTACTTGCTTAACCAGTGTTTAATAATCTAACAGATTCATTAGTTCACTAGAAATATTAAAGCAAAATATATAGCAACAATGTCCAAATATACTTCTTCATGTTTTATATCTCTAAAATGTTTGCTAAATATGAAACTAATTTTAGAAATGTGTGTCTCAATTCTGAATTGCTGAATGCCGAAATTTGTTTTTTAGAAATGAAAAGTAACTACAGGTTGAACCTCTCTAGTCCAGCACTCTTTTGTCCAGTAACATCTGTGGTCCAGCATGATTTTAATCAGCTGGATGTCTACTTACCTGGGGTGTGGCCAACTTTCTCCCGGTCGCATGAAGTTTGTTTACAGTGCCTTGTGCTGTTGTTCAGCTCTAATTTAACCCTAAATGTCTAAGAGCCCGGTAAGCAGCAGAAGTGTTGGTAATGCTGATAGACAGTATTGACCTCCCATGGTTCAGCAAATCTTTTGGTTCAGCACCGGTCAGGACCTGAGGATGCTGGACTAGAGGGGTTCAACCTGTAATGCACTTATTCAGTACACAAGACTACTGTATAGGTCTAAATTTATACATCTATATTTTCTTTTGTGCTTGTTTGATTCCACCCCATTATACATCAGTTTACTACTAACTGGTCACATTTTATAAATTGGGAAAATGGACTTTTTTTAAAAGGGGGGTTGGGAGGATAAGGATGTTAAATTTAGTTTATTCAACTTATTGACTAGTCAATGGATTTTCCATTGATTAGTCAATAAACGGTGGAGCCGCAGCGGGGTTAGCTCCAGTCAGCTCTTAATACATTTAAAAGGCTAAAGTGCCACAGGAGGGATCCAGTGCGAGCCAAGACAGCCGAGTCCCCACTGCTGTGCTTTAGCTTTTTTAATGTATTAAGAGCCAACAGGTACCTCTGGGACTGGGCACAAGCAGGGAATCAGTGACTTCTCTGCCCCCTCCTCCTCACTGAGATGGTGCTGGGAGGAACTAGCTTTTAAGCTGGCTCCCCCCCCAGCACCTGCTTCCCCCTCCCCGCTCCTGCCCAATAGAGGCATCAAGGGGTGGGGGAAGTGACAGGTTAAATGTTTTTTGTTTTTTGTTTTGTTTTTTGTGGGGTTTTTTTGTGTGGGGTTGTTGGGGTTTTTTTATGCCTTGATAGGTATACCTGGGCCTTAGTGAAACCCCCTCCAACTTTCTGATAGGGACCATGCTACTTCTCCCTTTCCAACAGGCCTGTCTTAGAGAGGAAACAGCCAATCAGAGCCCAAAAGGTGCAGTTTAAAGGAACTGTAGTGGTTATGGGCAATACCTGGGGTGGGACGAGAGGAATGAGGAAGGTTCCTCTCTGGCTAAAGGATTGTGACTGGCTGCATTTACTGGCCCTGGGGGGAGAGGACCTGAGAACTTTGAGGTAATGGGTGAAGGTGAAGGGGCCAGGTGGGAGGAAGCCCATGGAAGCAGCAGTATCTAATTAAAGGAAGCAGTGCATGACTGCCATATGTAAGGTCCCTGGATTCCAACCCAGAGTGGTGAACAGGCCTGGGTTCCCGCCACTGGTAAAGGGGCCAAGACTCCTTTAGAAATCCAATAAAAGAGCTGAACTTAAAGGCCCCAGAGACTGAGCTAAAGACCCTAGTTAGTGCATATGGTATGAACTCTTTACTATCTCAGAAGTCCCTATGTAACTTGGCTGGAGGGCCAAGCTACAGAAGACCAGCCTAGTGAGTTTGTCATCCTGCAATGGGTGCTAAGAACAGGAAAAGATTGCAGTACCACATTCAGCTGCTAGGAAGCTCTCCTGAGGTGAGTCATTCCCTCCTCTTCTCAATACAATGCATTTTCAAACATAATTGAAATCATTGTATGTATGTATTATGGGATGGAGGTGTATGGGTAGAGAAACAAGTTAGAAGTTAAATCTGTGTCTTAAGTTTCCTTGTTCCTTGTGTATATGTGAGTTAAAATCTGCTGACTGGTGGAAAATATAATGAAATAAAAGTATTTGCAGCTAATTTAGACTACATTGGGATCAATTATGATAATACATAGTTGGTTAATTGTATGGTTCACATTGTAGAGTAGAACTTGACAGAGCTAACTGCTCTTTTCTTCCTGTATGCTTGGTAGGTTCTACTCTTACAAAAGAGAAGAGAAGACATCGATCCCACAAGTTCTTGTGTCTTAAAGTTGGAAAACCTATGAGAAAAACATTTGTGTCACAAGCAAGTGCATCAATGCAGCAGTATGCACAGAGAGATAAGAAACACGAGTACTGGTTTGCTGTTCCACATGAGAGGTAAAGAAGGGTTAGGTTGTTGGATGAATATTTTGCTCTGCCACAGTATAGTCTAACTTATTTTCTTCTACGCTTCTCAGAATCATGTATAAATAATTATACCTTCCTTGTAATAACACAAGGGGCAAATCTTGCCCTTACTCTACAGCTGTGGAGCTTGTCAGATGTAGAACGGGAAAGAAATTGTGCATGTGGAAATACATCTCTGTGCTGGGTGGGCAAGGTGAGGTGTAGATGGACCTTGTGGATCTACTGCTATTTGGAACTATTAACCATTGCACCTCCATAGTATGGGGGCACAAGATTAGCCAAACTAAGTGCAGGAGTTTGTGCCAATGTAAGAAGAAGGGCTTTACTTCTATGTACCTTGCATTAACGCAGGCATGCCCGTTGTTTCTACTTTTAATTAACCAATTCGTGCTACTAGCTAACTTTAAAGACTGCATCCTTGACAGACCAAGTGGCTGGCTGTCACAGCATATATCAGCATGGAGAGGAATTCAGAGGGACTTATCTGCATCCTGTTGTGTAATACAGGATTTGGGGCAGGTTAATGATAATGCAGTACTTGATTGTAAGGTGCTAATGCCGTGGACACATGGGAAAGAACATGAAATGTTGGAGGCTTAAGTAAGTTTCTTGTAGGCACTGTCAATTACTTTCTATTTTAAATACTAGTTTCTTACCATTGTTGACAATTAATTGTCACTTATCAGCTAGCAGTCTTGAGACACCAATTATTTTGAACTGACATGGACACTGATGCTGCTTCCAAGGATAGGCAATCCTTCAGCGGGGTTAGCATCTAAGTTTCTTCTAGGGTGCTTACCTGTGTGAGCACGCACAAAGAATTTTAATCCTGCCCACCTCCTCATCAGAGCCACGCAGCTGCACTACCTTCTTCGGATGTGGAAGGTACGCTGCTGGTGGTGGGCTTGGTGGGAGAGTGGGGGGTCAGGTCTGCAAGGTGGCTGCCCAGCTGCTCCAGCTCTGGCACACAGGGCAGCTGCTCGCCATGCAGCCCTGCTCCAGGAGCAACTGGACAGCCACCACACGGCTCCAGGCCCAGCTTTAGCCCATCCTCTTGGCTGGAGCTGCGGCCAGGGCGGGTCGCATGGTAGCTGCAGGAGCTGGGGCTATGGTGTGGCTGCTCCTGAGGGTGAGGCCACTACACTGCGCCCTGGCCCCAGGAGCAACTACACTACACGGGACAGCCGCCCACCATGCAGCCCTGCCTGGGGAGCAGCCAGGCAGCCCCACCATGTGACCCTGGACCCAGCTCCAGTCCTTCCGCAGGGCTCCTAGTCAATTATTTTGGAGCTGTGGAGGAAGCACTCGGGGAGTCGGGTTGGAGTCGCCTGTATATATGCATGTGCAAACCTGGATCAAGTCAACAACAACCTAGAGACCTCAAAATCTTTACCGTGGACAATTGTGTTCATGTATGGACATGTTTCTGACCCTGTCCTTCAAGTAGGATTATGTGCTCTAGTGTCTCCAGTATTGTCTATTGAACATCTTTTAGAAAGCACTAAAAATAATTTAGAATAAAAGGTAAACTTAACCAAATAAGTTGAGCACTGCTTAGTGGCTATTGATCTCTGAGAGCAGTTGCAAGGAAGATGTGGTTGGAATTGTATAAGAACTTGCTGGTATGTGACAAATGTGATACATGATAATCTAGCATCAGTATCAGGGTTTCTTTTAAGGAAAGTAATTTAAACTCACTTGTGATACTCACTTTTCATCTCTTTGGGCTCAGTATTGTTATTTGCATTGTCTAACAGTACATAAGCTAGCCAAAAGGGAGGTCCCCAAGGAAGAGGAGAGGGAGGATACTGGTCCCGGTTCCACAATAGCGTAAAGCCTCAAGGTTTCTGTGCTCCTGTCCATGGTGGGAAAACGTCACTGAAGTTGTGATATGGCAAAGCCATTGGTACTGTTCTCCATACTTTCCTCATTTAGTGCACAGGGAAATGTTATAGAACACAGTTCTGTAGCACATGGGGGATAGTAACTTCTTATAGGGTCATGCTCTCCCAGACTGTGGGAGGCCTAAAGAAAAGAGACTAGAATTGGCCATTTAACAAATTACTACTACTAGACAGGTGTGTCTGTATTTCAAGATCTTGTTATAGGCACAACTTCTGCTTTCTTTCTTTGTGCCATTTAGTAATGCTAAGTAGAACAGGGGAAGATTCAGAAGTGGTTTAGGTTTTAGTTGGGGCAGAATGAGACAAGAAAAGTGCAAAGCTTTTTATTTATATTTGGTTTAATTTCCCTATGGGTCTGTGTGAGCATTCCTTTTGTATTATTATAAGTTGGGTACTTCAGTGTTTGTACTACAGGTTGAACCTCTGTAGTTTGGACTTCCCTAGTCCGGCAACACCTCTGGGCCAACAAAGACATTGACTCAGTGGATATTCCAGGGCTGGAGCAGTCATGAGGGGGAAAAGCTGGCAAGCTGGGGACAGGAATGTTACTGCTGGACTAGGGAAGAGTGAATCCCCAGGATGGACGGGTAGCCAAGAGGGGGAATCCTGGGGGACAGGCAGCCAAGGACAAAGCCTTGGGGGAAGCATTGACCTACTCTAGTCCAGCAAATTCTCTGGTTCAGGATAAGGATTTTAAAAAGTGGTTAATTGACTAGTCGATGGAATTTCCGCATTCCGATGGCACTTCCGCATTCCTCCAGGCTGCACACAGCGTGCCTGCTTTGAAATGCACAAGAGTCCCCAGCAGGGGCTCTTGTGTATTTCAAAGCCATGGAGCCCGGGGTCAGCAGGGGTCTGTGGTTCGGGAGCCACAGTCCCCTGCTGACCCCAGGCTCCACGCTATGCTGCATGCCACAAAGAGCCTGGGATCAGCTGGGGACTCCCCAGCAGATCCCGGGTTCTGGGGAAATGCCACGGGAAGCCTGATGTCAGCTGGGGACTGTGGCTCCCGAACCACTGTCCCCAGCTGACCCCAGGCTCCTCAACTGCCCCTTTGAATCGTGCAGAGACAGCATTTTAAAGGGGCAGCTTGCTACATAGCTGATCCACAGGGTTTCAAAGTAAGGTTTTATTTTTAGAAATATGCAATCCTGGATAAGGTAACAAAACAAATACATTATGTTTTAATTTGTATCATTACTTGATTTTGTTTTCCAGAACAGAACACTTGTATACCTTCTTTATTCAGTGGAGCCCAGAAATATATGCAGAGGATACTGAGGAGTCTATTAGAGAGCCTGGATTTATAGTGGTAAAGAAGAATGAAGAGCCAGAAACTGGTGATTGCACTAACGAAGCTGCTACTAGAGAGTGGGAGGTAAGGAAGAGCATAGTCAGGGGGAATTCATTCAAAATAAGAGGGCATCTTATTCCGGCTTCCTGTAAACGTCGTTGTCTGAGGAATAAGGAAGAAACCGAAATAGTGCTCTATTTCAAAATAAGCAACGCAATTTACGTAGCTCATATTGCATAGCTTATTTTGAGACTGTGTAGATATACCCTAATATCAAATGTGGTGAATTATTTTTGATATAAGGAAAGATGAGAGAAATAAGTTGAAAATATACATGAAGTACTTCATATATAACATATTTTGTCAATTCATTAACTATAGTTTAGTTGTGTATTTATTTAATTTGTGCCACCTTAATACATTACTCTAACACATTGGTTTAGGCAATATTTTACCAACACTGCACCAAAACCTGCCCTTTTTTGCATTCAGCAAGCTGTATTTTAGAACACAGTAGGAGACTTAAAAAAAAAGCTGAAAAAGGAGTGAATAGAGCAGAAAGTACTACTTCAGTACAAATGCCATGTTTAATAGCATTTACTATTGGTTAGGGAAACCATACCAAAATAGACTTTGTATTAGGTGCACATGAATACAGCTCTGCAAATCTGTGCTCATCAACTTTATATCACTAAATTCCCACATTCAGGGGCCATGTTTGCAGATTAAATACAAATTTTGTAGCTGTGCAACGCTCTGCTCTGTCCATTAAAGTGCTACATAGTCCTGTATTTTTTAATCCATTATGTCACTGGGAAAAAAAATCCCATAATATAAATATAAGGCACTAGAGAGCAAATAAATACAGTGGAAGTATATATATTGTTGGGGGATTCTTGGATTAATTGAGAACATACTTTTTAAGTTTAAAAATATGTAGAATGTTATTGCCTGGATTAATTTGTTAATATTAAAATGTTTAAGTGCTGGAATGTGTCTATATACTACACTGTAATAAGCTTATTACTCCCATGTGCATCAGCATACATTGTGTGTCTGTGGACATATATCTTACATGTACATAGAGTTAATGTATTATTTGAATGTTTTTTAAGTGTGCATATGGAGAAAAGTGTTTTGTAACTTTCGTGTGCACTCAGTAGTTTGTCAGTCTAAAATAGCAAATTGTTCCATTTAATTGTCTACAAGATGTCTCATTTGCAGCAAACATATATTCTAGAAGTACCCATTAGTATCACTTAATTTAGGTCTGTGTGACCGTTATAAACTCATTCTCAATCTTGCATCAGTATCTACTGTATTTTCTTATAATACATTGGAGTGCCAAAAATATCTTAATTTTTTTATAGTGTCCTTTTTAATTCTAAATACCTGAGACATGTTTTTAGAAAGTTAGGTTCACATTAGGCTAACTGTGGAAACCAGGTTTTTTTTCCTCTGTTTCTTTTTACATTCCTGAAATTAAGAATCATAAATGAGAGCCTGGAGGTTCATATTTCCGTTAGAAGCAAACTACAGACCACTGCTTCTGCAGCATAACAGTCTTAGCTGTAAAATCCCATTGCTGCCTTCAGAATTTTAGCCTAACTTCATACACACGCAGGGTGTGATATCATCAGGCTCTTTTGTTCGAACCTTTATCTCTAATATATGGGTATATTAGTATCCAAGAATTGCGCTGGTAAAAAATTACAAGAAAAAAGTTTGCTTGATTGTCTGAAAGTTCCAAATTATGCCCTTGGAAATGAAGGCCCAAATTCAAAAGTGCCCTAAATATATTTGTGTCTTTGAATGGATACAAATTCCAATATACCTCACGTTCCCTTCAAGAGAAAAATGTTGCAAGCAAGGAAAGTGGATTAGATTAGAAAATGAGTCTGGTAAACTTTTTCTATATCAATCCCAAATAAATTTTTCCAGCTACATGCAGTATGAACTTCTCTCTTTAGAAAGTGTACTGTCAGTCCATATTATTGCATAGTATAAAACATTAAAACATTCTTTAAGTGAAATAATCCAGCTGTATAATATTGAACATTGCATTAACTTATAACAAACTGAGCTTCTAGCATAATGGTGCTTCGTTCCACTCATTTTTACATCCGTTAACTTTACAAACAGTTCTAGTATTGAACATCGCTACCAATTCACAACTAAAGGGTGTTCGAATGTAACCTACCAATGTCAACTCTGTGTAGAGTATCTTGGATCCATTTATCTTTTTTCTCCTAAATGTGTCTCTGATACACGGGATCTACTTATATAGGATTCTCACTAGTTTGGGATTACTTCTGTCTATTGCACCTATCACTCTAACAAAGCAGTGAAATTCTTTTATTTATTTGGGTCTTAAGGCTTCATTCTTGAGGCCCATTTATGTGAAACTTACAAGAAATTAAAAATCCAAGGGTATATCTCAGAGATGTAGCAAAGACATTTTGCACCCAGGGGCAAAGCCCAAATTTGCGCACTCCCTCCCCAATCATTTGTTACTGTGGATCTGTTGTTATTTCTAAGTCAGCAAAAAAATAAGACCATAAGAAAAAAAATCACAAACACTACTAATAGCCACAGATCCTTGGATCAATTAGTAGATCAGTTAGTAGATCACAGTAGAACTGTTTTGAGGGGGATTGGATTGGTATGGGGGTGCCTGGCTCTGGGGAAAAAGAGGGGAATATTTTGATAATGTTTTGGTTTTTATTTATTTCCAAATAAAATCACAAAATGTATATTAATTTTATATCAATAAATATGTCAATTTTTTTCAAATTGCACAAAATTATATGTTTATGCAAAATTTCAGATTTACAAAGTATCTGAAATTTTCACAAAATCCTGTTCTGTTTGACCATGGTCTATACCTGTTTTCATTTCAACAAAATAAGTTATGTATCATATACAAATTTCTGAAGTACCTTAAACTTATATTTAAATTAAAAATCATTTTATATAAGCAAATAATTTTACACGTCAAATTATTGTATTATATTAAAACAAGACCTGAAAAATATTATAAAATATACCTAAAACATAATCTATAATAATAAATAATTACAACTGCCCTATAGAAGTACATTCTCTTTGGTGTCCCTGAAAGCTATCAGTTTTCATTTGTGTGGCTCTCAGAGGGCTTCAAGTTTGACATGCATGATCTACGTGTTTTAGTCTTTAAAGTGCTACCAGATTATTGTTTAAGTTTTTCCTTTTGTTATAAAGTATATTTTATTTAAAAAAATAACTAACCCCAATACACATGCCCCTACCCCAGAGCCAGGCACCCCCCATTCCAATACAACACCTTTTCCCCAGAGCTCAGTCTCCCCCCGCCCCTCAGCCCGGCACCCCCCTGGGGACGGAAGGGAAGCATTCCCCCAATCAAATTCTCCCCCCCCAAAGGGGGGCGCTGGGCTGGGCAGGGTGGGTGTATGCGCACTCTTCTCTTGAGCTGCTGGCTAAGTGTTGGCTGCTGCGTCTGCCGGCGCCGGCTCTCTCCAAAGTGGAAGCCAAAGCAGCCAGCTGGGTGGGAGGAGCAGTGCTCTGAAGAAGGGTAGGTTCCTCCGTGCCTGGCTGGGGCAGGTGGGGGAGGATTTGATTGAGGGAGCGCTTCGCTTCCGCCCTTCTCCCCCCCCAAGCCAGGCACGGAGGAAAGTACCCTTCTTCAGAGCACTGCTCCTCCCACCCAGCTGGCTGCTTTGGCTTGCACTTTGGAGAGAGTGCCGGCAGCCACAGCAGCACTTAGCCAGCAGCTCAAGAGCAGCATACGCTTGGTGCGCTCGGTCCCACACCAATCCGGCACCCCCCTAGCGTGGCACCCGAGGGCAATTGTCCCCCCCCTTCACTACACCTCTGGTATATCTACACAACCTAATTAAAGGGAGCACTAACAGCAGTATGCACCAAAGTGCTACACTGTAAACTCCCCGGGTGGCTCCTGCACGTGCAAATTTAAAGATCCTAAGTTTGTACTGATATCTTCTTTAAAGAGGATTATAGAGTAGATACGCTATATGACAATATTTGTCTGAAGTAAGAAATGAAACTGCTTCCCTGTCATGTTCTAAACAAAAGAATTACCTTAATCTCTGTATACCCTCCCCTCACTCCTTATTTCTACCTCTTCATGAGAAGCAATCATCACATTTTAAAATTGTTTTTAAAGTTCATCATAGTTGGAGTATTGTCTTTATCTGTATTGTGATTACCCTAGCATACTTTTGGGGAGCTGCATTAATACCATATTTCTATTACCCTTCATAGTAAGAGAGGTGTAAATTAAAGGCAGGATTTTTGGTTTTGTAATGAGTTTTATAGACACACAGGCTTGTGATGGTGTTACAGATACAAAAGTGTTCCTTCCTGGAGACTTTGTCTAATAAAAAGGTGTTAAATTTGCACTAAGCACAGTCAGACCTGACATGAGAATAATATCTTCAACCAAATAATTGCCACTGAAAACATCTTCTACCCAAGTGGTTTCAAAATTTAAACCTGGGTATTTTTCAGATCTGTCATACCTTTGGAGACTGAGCGACTATTAGTTATGTTTTAATCTGTGTCTGTCTCTTTAGATTTTAAATTAATAGATTTCTGAAAGCCGGATGAATTTATGAAATAGGTGTCCATGTGTTTGCCCTAGCCTTAGCTACTCTTAGGTGTGATGCTTGGCCCTGCTAAAACTGCCCAGCACAGCTCCCCGCCTTGCTGCCTGCCTGCTGTCCCAGGGTCTCTTGGGTTTCCCAGCAGGGCCTGTTTGGCCACTGCCAGTCCCGCTGCAGCAGGGTTTCCCCAGGGTTCCTGGTTGGGACCACTCCGCTGCCGTCAGCCCTGCTGCTGACTCGGTTCCCCAGCCAGGGCTGCTCCAGCCACCCTGCCCTTGCTTCTGGGGCTGCCCTGCCGCTGGGGGTTCTGTGGGTTCCCCAGCCAGAGCCACCTGCCTCCAGCAGTCCCACTTTAGCTGGGGGTTTGCCGGTGGAGGCTGCCCAGTCACTCTGACTCGACTGCCACCTAAGGTTTCTTGGGGTTCCTGGCCAAGACTACTTGGCCGGAGGCAGCTCTACTGC